ACGGGTAAAGAAGTTTTTTTTTTTTTTTTTGTATTTGACTTTTAAAACCATTTAAATATTAATATATTATAAATTTAAAATTTATTTTTAGAAATAGGAAAAAAAAAATTTTTTTTCTTGTTTTTTAATTTAAAAAAAAAAATCATATGTAAAGAGTTTTCCTTAAAAAAATAAATAACAAATAATTTAATTGCTCATCAATAATATCTTTTAATTACTTTTGGCAACCAATAAATATGTAAAAAGTGTTGTAGGATTATTATTTCATTTATGTACAATAATTAATATTAAATATTATTTATTATAATTATTCTTATATTGTTCTAGGTTACTCATTGAAAAAAAAAAAAAAAAAATGGGGAGGGAGGGCTTTAATTCAATGATAATTTAAACATTTATTTATGATTCTAATTACACATTTTATTATTTTTTACGACTTATTAATTATTAAAATAAAAAAAAAAGGGGAATTCTTGTAACAACTTCAATAATAAATAAAAATAAATATTAATAAAATTCTTATGCTCAAATTATTTTACAATCAATAATTTATATCCGTAAAAAAAAAAAAATATTAAAAACAAATAAATTTAAATATTTTTAATTATTTTAATAAAAAGTGAAATTCTTGACATTTTATTAATAATAAAAAAAACAAGGAAGATTTATATATGTAAATTATTTACAATTGATTTTTTATTTTAAACGTACGCCCTTAAATTCAATATTTAAATTCAATTTAATTTTTCCAGAAAAAAAACAAATAATAAAAGGGATAAGTGGAGAATTTCGATCTGGAGAATTAACGGCCGTAATGGGTCCCTCTGGAGCAGGAAAATCTTCTCTTTTAAATATTCTTACAGGCTACCAGTAAGTTGAAAAATTTTTTTTTTTTTTTTTTAAATATTTTAATATAATTTTTGATAAAAAAGAAAAAAAAAAAGGTCAAAAGATTAATTTTGAATATTTGTAATAATAAATCTAAAATCAAATGTTCATTTTTTCAAATTGAAATAATTAATTTGCAAATAATATTTTGCTATATTTAATTTTTTATGAATTAAAATAAATTCAAAACTTATTTTTTATTACATTTGAAATGAAAATAACAATCACATTGATAAATTGCAATTCATTTATGTTAAAACATAAAAAAATTATTATTTAAATGGGTTTTTTATAATGTAAATATGAGCAGGAAATTAAATTACTTATTTATAATTACAACATTGCATTTATCTATACGTAAGTAGTAAAAAACACAGGAAAAAAAAAACATTCCTGACACTGAGATCGATATAAAAATAAATAATAAAAAAAAATAACCTGATTTTATAATATCCTATGGCGAGGTTTGTCCTTTTTCAAGGTTAAAACCTTTAGCATAAATTATATTTTTTATATTTATTTTGAAGTTACCTTTAGCAAACTACAGATTCTGTGTTTATTTTTTTTTTTTTTACAATTTGAAATTTTCATAATGTTAATGTAGCAAAATATTTATGTTCATTCATATTCTTACACTTTAAAAAATTTTAAATTTATTCTTCTTATTTAAAAAAAAAAAAAAAAAAAAACCGGCGTATAAATATTAATTTAAATCTATTTATTATTTTATTCACTGAATTATAATGTTTATTTTGTATTGTAATACTGAATATTATTTTATATCGATTATAAAAATAAAAAAAAAAATAAATGTGAATAACCAGCGATCGATAATCTTAATAGATCATCTATTATACGAGACAAATACTGTTTACGCGTAATTTAACAATTAATTTCACCTTTTTTTTTTTTTTTTTTTTTTTTTTAATATGACCTTTTGGGGATATAATAAATTTTTAAGGAATTATAGTTAAATCAGTGTTTGGGTTCATCATAAAAGCTCCTTCTGAGGGTTTGGTAACAAAGAAAAAAGGTTTGTCTTCCTTTGGCTTGTAATTTTTTCTTATGTATCGAATACAATTTTCAGCTTCTGTTATTTTAACTAAAATAATTATTGTGGCATTTAAACCATTTCCAATCATTTTAGCTCCTAACACTCCCTTAACCTTTTTGGCTAAATTTATTAAAGTCTCTATTTGAGGACTAGAAACTTCGTAATCGTCTCTTAAAGAAACGTGGCTTTGATTCATTAAAGCCCCTAGCCTTTCGTAATCTTCTGATTTAATAGCCTTTATAGCTTCTTCTGTTCTCTGATGTTCCGTTATAACGTATTTAACTCGCTTTATTGTTTCTTCCGAGGCATCTCTTTTTCTTAAACACCTTAAATGCTTTAAGTCTGCATTCAATAGAGAATTCCTTCCCAAAATTTCAAGAGCTTTGATGCATTTTCTTAAGCGTTTATCCAATGATTCAATTGTTACGGTGCTCGTATTATTTTTACACGAACCTAATAAAAATACATATGAGGGATGATCGAAAAAATATTGAGAAATTTTATGACGTTTACAATTGATAAACATCAAGTGACCCTCCTTGCAAATAAAAGTTGGAAAAAATTTAATGCTCGAACATTTTGAAATCAGTTCTGAAGGATATAGTTGAATTTCATGTTCGGTTTTCGTACATCTGTCAGCTTTTTCGAATAAATCAAAAGAATATTCTTGAGTTAGATTTTCTAAAAAAGTATAAATGGATGCTTGTAATGCGGAGCAGCTACGGAAACCAAATTTAATTGGAAGACTTGAGGTTATGACTGCGTTAAAACCTGGTACGTGACCCTTGAATTCGCTTACGCATCCTATAACTGAATTCACCCAATTTCTTTCTTCATTTTTCAATGTTCGAACGCAAGGCAAAGGACTTTTCATTGTATTTGGCTTTTCTACTTTTTTCGACAATGTTTTTACAGAAAAATAAACGGAATCATTTCTACCACCGACTGTTACCACTACCATAGGTAAGGCCATGCAAATTATGTATCCTAAATGAAATTCCATGAATTCTCCGAATAACGTTATATTACCAGGTGCGACTCCTATAGCTTCGGGTTGGTTTCCATATAAAGACTGAAATTCTTCCATTGCTTTTCTTGTCAATGTTTTCACGGATGGTATTGGTTGAGCAAACAAAGTTCTTAAAAAGTCAGTTCTTGTCACAAACATCATTCTTGCACCAGAAATGGGAGAAATAATATAAAATGTCAAATTTTTATATGTTATATTCGAGGATTCAATTTGAAAATTTTTTACTTCAAAAATTGGTTTTTTATTAAAAGTTTCATTCCCTTCTTCTTCTTCTTCATCTTCATCTTCATCTTCATATTCTTCTTCTCCTTTTCCAATTGAGTATTGCCTTGAAAATTTTTTTTTTTTAACATAATTAACAGGCCAAAATTCGCAAGTATCGGGTGGTTTTGTCATTTTTATTGCGCAAATTTTTTTCGTTTTTACCGCGCAGGGATTTTCCATTACGCTTTCGTTTTCACCAGCTGATATATTTTTTTTATACTTGTCATCTAAATTTTTATCGGGATCATATTCCTCAGACTGCATTTTATTTTGAATTTCATTTTTTTTTTTTAATTCATTTTCTCTGTGTTCTTTCGTTAGAGCTTTTATTTCATCTTCATTATCTAAAAATCTTTGAGTTACATATCTACAATAATTTTCAATATTTTTTTTTCTAATTAATGAAATTATTCCACCGCCATATCCTAATCCCATTCCAGTCATCTTTGATCCTAACACTCCATCAACTTCCAGTGAAGTATCAACTAAAAAATCTAAAAAAGGATTGGTCAATTCGAAGTCTTCTTTTAATGATGAATGACTTTGATTCATTAACATCCCGTAGGTTTCAAAGTCACCTGAATTCCATGCTTCTAAAGCTTCTTTGATTCTTATCATTTCTGTCACAAAAAATTTAGCTCTTTTCATCATAATATTAAATTCCTCTTCTGTCCAATTGTCGTCATCGCCTCGGTCTCCTTTTAAGAGCGTTTCAGATTTATCTTTATCGTATTCTTCTTGGTTATCTTTTTTATTTTCCTCGTCATCTTCAATATTATTTTCTTCTTTATTTGCTCTACGTTCTAAAATTCCTTGAACCTTATTCTGTAACTCGATCAAATGTTCTTCATTACATTCCTTTAAACTTTTTACTCCTAAAATTTTACATGCTTTTTCTATGTGCTTTGATCTTTCTTTATATTCATTATCGAACACGTAGTCTTTTTCGTGTAATTCAATGGCAATAAAAACATATTCTGAATTTTTTACAGGAATCCATTGTAATTCTTCCCCGTCTGAATTTGTAATTAGGGCATGACGATCTTTAGCGAAAATTGATGTTATTCTATCGATTAAACCTACATCCTTAAATAAAAAATTTTTTTCTACCTCCTGACAGGCTTTTGCCTTATTAATGAGGTCATTTTTCTTTCCTGAGAAAACTTCTAAAAAACTATACATAGCAGTTTCTAAAGCTGAGGCACTACCAAAGCCTACACCCATTGGAATATTAGATTCTATCACGGCTTCAAACGGTGGAACTGTCCACTCGTTCGTGTCGCAATAGTTGTCTATGACACCTTTAATATAATTCAACCAAATAGGGCAGCCTGGCAATAGGGGTCTGTTTTGAGAAAATGAAAATTTGATTTTATGAGGTTTGCCTACATCGCCTGTTGTGACTACAGCATAATGTCGTCCGGGCGCCTCTCGGCCTACTATCACCGTAGCCATGGTTGTAGGTATAAGCCAAGCGAGACCATTATTAAATTGCGTTTGTTCTCCGAATATACCTATTTTTCCGGGTGCAACGCCAGCCAATTCCGGGTAACCACCGAATCGGTTATAAAACGTCACCACAGCTTTTTGAAGAAGCTGATGAACGGATAAAATTTTTTCTGTGCAATTCTCAGAATTTTTAATAACATCCCTAAATTGTTCCGAAGTCAAATTGGTCATTTTAATTTATTTATTATAAAAGAAAATAAATTCGAAAACACTAAAATTTTGGAATTCTAATCATTTGCATTAGAATCATTTTTTCTAAATGTTTACTGATAACATGTGTGAGAAGGACTACCAAATATGGCGGTCCTTTTCCATAGAAATTATATTCTCTGTGATATTATTTATTTTATAAAATAAAATATAATATCACGGATTTAACCAATTAGAAAAAAAAAAAATAATTAAAATTTGATTCGAAATTGAATTTCATTCAAATTTTCATAAGAAAATTTTAAACATCAAAAAAAAAAAAGAAATTTTATCAATATATTAAATTTTTAGAAAATTCAATTAAGACAATTACATTCGAAATTAGAAGCCTCGAGGTCGTTCATTAATAATGTCCTTGCAAGTTTAATCCATGCCGGTGTTTTTATTGCATTGACGGTTAACCAAAGTCTATTAAATATATTATTATTATGATCGTGAACCATTTAATTTGTTAAAAAAACAATGTCATAGTAATCGCAGGGCATCGGATGAAAAAAAAAAAAAAAAAAAAAAAACTGCAAAATTAAAACCTTGTAAACTTTAAACAAAACTAAAAAATTTATATCCTTAAAAATTTTACGTTTATGACCTTGACTATAACGCGTTGTTAATATGTTTAAAAATCCTTGAACTTTTATTATAATAGTCATTAAAAAAAATAAAGGAAAAATATACTTTGATCATATTAATATAATACTATTTAATTATAAAAAAAAAAGAAAAAAATTATTTTTTAAAAGTTATAATTATTTTATTATTAACTAACCGTTTAAACAAAGTAATAAAAGCAGATAATTATAATTGGTAATTAATTTTCAAATCAATGTTAATCAATAAAACCAATAAAATTTTTTTTTGTTTAAATAAAACTATATAATTACTTCCGTTCGACCCTTAATGTGTAATTTGCATAAATTTAAATTAAGTACTTGACATTCGAATTTTAAATTTTCTTGTGTAAAAGCTTCAAATTTTAAATAATCATCAAAGTTGAATTAAAAAAAAAAAAAATTTTTTTTTTTTTAATTTAAAGGTTAAAAGGAATGAAGGGTTGCATATATTTGAATGGAGTAGAACGACAATCAAATGGACGAGATTTTAAAAAAGATATATGCTACATAATGCAAGATGATCAATTGTTACCAATCTTTACTGTTATGGAAACTATGATGATGGCTGCTGATTTAAAGTTAGGCCGAAGCATATCTGAAAAAGCAAAATTAATTCTTGTAGGTGTTCAAATGATAAATATAACCCGAAAAATTAAAAAATTATTTTTAATTTATAATATTAAGAAAATAGAAATAAATTTTTGTATTTATTAAAAAATATTAACTCGAAGGCAAAAATTATTTACATTTTAGATTGACAACATTCTTCAATCGTTGGGCCTGTTTTCATCTGAACAAACCAAGTGTCATCTTCTCTCAGGAGGTCAAAGAAAAAGATTATCCGTTGCACTTGAATTGATAGATAATCCTCCAGTTATGTTTTTGGACGAACCGACCACGTAAGTTTTTTTGGTTATTAGTTTTTTTTCTTCCCCTTCCCCCCTAATATATGAATTTTTCAGAGGGCTTGACAGTTCGTCATCTTTGCAATGCATCAAAGCATTAAAAGCTTTGGCGAAAGGTGGCCGAACGATTGTTTGCACTATTCATCAACCCAGCGCTTCTATTTATGAAATGTTCGATCACGTTTACGTACTCGCCGAGGGACATTGCGTGTACCAAGGTTCAAGTCATAATACTGTACCATATCTTCTAAGTGTAGGACTGACGTGCCCGCAATATCACAATCCGGCAGATTTCAGTAAGTTGTTAAAAAAAAATTAATGATATAATAAAATATTATTGTTTTGCTTCTGTATACCAGTTTTACTTATCCTCTTTCTTTCAGCAAAATAAAAATAAGCCTTATATCAATTGCAGTTTCAGAAGTTGTTAACTGTGAATATGGGAATTTTACTCAACAACTGGCACTAACAGCGCAAGATTCACGTTGGAGGTCAGTAACATTAAAAACAGAAGATGGTGTTATGACGCCGAGAGTTCATGATGAAAAAACAACAACAAATTTTGTACGTCCTCCTTCAGAAATATTTCGGTTCTACGTACTTTTATATAGAAATATAATTAAGCTACATCGAGACTGGGTATATACATACATAAGTTTTTATAAAATACAAAATTATTTATTTTATTTACAATTAATAAAATATTGTTTTTTCTCAGACTGTGATTCATTTGAAAATATTACTACATTTTCTTGTTGGTATTTTACTCGGTCTTAATTACCAAGGCTGTGGAAATGACGGTAGCAAATCTTTTGAAAATTTGACTTTTTTATTTTTTTCTGTTACTTATATATCATTTACTTCTATGATGCCAGCCATTCTCACTTGTACGTACATATATATGTAATTTAATTTATATTATTAATTTATATATAAATTTAAATAAAATGTAAATTTTATTTTAGTTCCGTTAGAGCTGTCGGTATTAAAAAAAGAAAATTTTAATAACTGGTACACGTTGAAAACTTATTATTCTGCATTCATCGTTACAAGTACGCCAGTACAGGTAAGGCCGCCATAATTAAATAAACAAAATGGATAAAATATATTTACTCAAACAATTTGTTAATATTTACTTTTTCAATACGAAACAACAATCAAATGGAAAATTTATAAATTTCACAACATTTAATTTCATTTTTTTTAAACAATTTAAAATTTTTTAGTTTTTACTATGTTTGGCTTATGCATGTCCTTCCTACTATTTATCAAACCAACCGTTGGATTTGGCGCGATTCGGTATGTTTTTAGGAGTTTGTTTGTTGGTAAGCTTGACAGCTGAAGGTTTAGGATTGTATTTAGGAACATTAGAAAATTCTGTCGTAAGTATTAGTATTTTTTTTTTTTTTTAAATATTATTTTTTCAATTGAATCACGTGATTTTAGTACATATTCATTTTTTTTCCAGAACGCTTTGTTTTTTGGTTCAGTTTTTACTGCATTTCTTCTTTTGTACAGCGGTTGCTTGTGTCTTTTCCCACAAATGCCGGCCTATTTAAAAGTGTTTTCCTATCTTTCATATAATCGCTACGCTTATGAAGGACTAATTCTTTCTGTTTACGGTTACGATAGACAAGCTCTTCCATGTCCGGATGATGTAATTTATTGTCATTTACGATTTCCGGATAAAATTATGGATGAAATGGGAGTTTCAGATGGTAGATTTTGGATTAATTTTTTAGCTCTTTTGGGTATATTATTTTTCTTCAGAACTGCTTCATTTATTGCCCTAAGGTATAAAGTGGCTTATGGTAAAATGTGACATGTGATATGTATTCAGTAGTGATGACGTTTATTTTTTTTAAAAAAAGAAGGAATCTCAATTTTTAATATATATATATATATGTAACATTAAGTTCTTAAGTTAAGACATTTATTTTTAACATCATAGAATAATGGGCTTTATATATATAAATAAATATATATAAAATGTTTATGTCGTAAATACGTGAAAAATATATATATTTGTGTGTGTGTACGTTTTTTTTTTTTTTCTTAAGAGAAAACAATAAAAAAAAAAAGATTTTTAATACTTGCCATTTATTTGTAATTATTTTTGTAAATTATTATTATTTTTATTTTTTATAAATGATTGTTTTGTTAAAAAATTTTTTTTTTTTATTCTGTAGTTACAAAATGTTCAAAACTATTTTTATATTGCAATAAAAACTAAAATTTTTCAAAATTATTGTATAATTTTTTAAAATTAACCATGGGAAAACAAATTTTTTAAAAACATCTTAATATTTATTTAAAATTACATTAAAATATTAAAAGTATTTTACATCATAGAATATAGATTGGCCCCCTGAAAAGATTAAAGGGCATCTAAATCATGAGTAGGTTTAATAATTTTTTTTTGAATAGCAGTAAAAATTGAAAATAAAGAAGTATAATAAAACTTTAAAAAATGGGGTTTTCGTATAATAAATATTTAAATTTAAAAAAAAAAATAATTTTTAACTTAATTATTGAAAAAAAAAAGATAAATGTAATAACCAAAAAAAAAAAAAAAAACTTCTAAATGATATGAAAAAGTGGTTTATATTTTAAACTTTTCGTGTCAATAGAAAAACTATATATTAAGATTTTTTTTTGTATTTTCAACAATAAAATTATTTTATAAAAATCAATTTATTTATTTTAAAATAAAAAAATTTTATTTATTTAAAATTTAATTTAATTAAAAATTTATTTATTTAAAAAAAATTGATAATTTTTATAATGTTTTGATTCATTTTCTCATTTGAGTTGTGCAGTTTAAACAGGAAGTTCTTTTTCGTAAGGAAAGATGTCGGACAATCTATACGAATGATTTTTTTAAAATTTATTAAGAAATGGATTACTCAGTTCAGGTTTGTTAATACATTTTTTAATAGGAAATCTGTTAAATATAAATAAAATAGTAGGAATTTACACGGAGACGTGTTTTTCTTTTTAATAAAATTTAAAGAGTTTTTAAATTGAGATTTGACGACATGCTGCAGGAGTGAATATGGCTGCATATATTTAGAGCCCGCGCACGTGGGGATTAAGTAAAATAAATTAGTCTCAGCTCAATTGATTTCAATTTTTTAATAATTTTTAAAGAAAAATCTCAGTTTAATTGTTGATTTTTATTATCACTATTTAATGACTGAAATAGCTTGCATATTTTGATGATCAATGTTAACCTATGGCCTAAACGAGATACACCCAGATTAAAAACTTTTTTTTTTTTTTACGACAGTGAAACTATGGCGTAATTTTAATTTAAATTTTTTTCAACTTAAAATATAATATATTTACTTTTCATTAGATTTTTTTAAATAAGTACATTTAACGTTTTGAATTTTCTTTTTTTTGTATTCAAATAGAGAGGGATTGTTTATTAAGTAAATAAGTTGAAGCATACGATCTTACGTTCATCAAATGATTATTTCATTTAATTAAATATTATATTTTTCATTCAGTTTTTTTTTTTTATTTTTTTTTTTAAATAGCCAATATAATACAAACTTTAATGTGTTACTTAGTTTGTTGATAAATTTTTAAATTTAACTTATTTTTGGTTTTATATAGTTTTTGCCTCTGATTATTATAATAAATTATTGGTACTTAATTCAAAGTTGAAATCTGAGTGTTTTATTTCTTATTAATTTCATTGAGACTTATTTATTAAGTGATTTTTTTTTAAAAATATTTCTCTAATACTGTTTACATAGGTGTATTATTTTAATTTTTGTAGCACCATTTGTAGCAATTAATACTATTAAAATAGAAGATAGTTTAATAATAAATTATCTAGACTGTGTATTTTAAGTTTATTGTTTCTTACTTTGAGTATTCATATACATTATTAACTTATTGATCAATTATTTTCATTATCATTTTGGGCTTTTTTTGTAGTTATGTTCATCGATAAATTTAGATAAATCAGATATTTGATAATATTTTGTTATTTTATTAATATGTTTCTTAAAATGGGATTTCATTTTTTATCCTTTTTATTTTGTGAGTAAAATTTATATTAATAATTTTGTTTTCAAATTTATTTTGATGATTTAACTTAAAAATGTCAGTACTTAGTTTTTTACCTTACAAAAAAAAAAGGGGGGGGTAATATAAATAAAATTTGAATATATTTTTAGAGGCTTCAGTTCCTCGATTTGACTGATGCCACAGAAAATGATCAGTCATTCATAGAACGAGTTCTCTTTTCAAATAATCAAGTGTTGGAAGTGCCTTGGAACACTAGGCATGCTAAGGAATCTGAAGTTGAAGTTGAACAAGAATGGACCAATGTTTCCTACAGTAAGTAAAATTTTTATATATCTACATTAAATTTATTTAAATTAAATTAATTCTTTTTACCAATTGATAAACTATGATAAAAAAGTTAATGATAAAATAAATGAGAAAAAATGATAAACTCAATTTAAAATATTGAGTTTATCATTTTGGAATATTTTTCTTATTATTATATTGTTTTTTTTAAATATTATTATATAAAATTTTAAATGTAACAATAAAAAACACAATAAACAATGAAATAAATAACAAAATTATAAAAAATAAAAATGAATGTAAAAAAAATTATTTTTGTGACTTTAAATAGCTAATGAATTTGAGCGAGATCAAGACTTGCAAACACATAATCAAGTCCAAGAGCCTCTTAGTGACAATGAGCAATGCAGGGAAGAAGTGCAAAATGAAGGAAATCATCAGGAGCACTCAGATCAAATTCCTCAACAAGAGCATGTTCCTCGCCAAGGAGGTATCTTTCCTGGCCACCCACCAACATCGATGCCTCACCAACCTCAGGTACTCATTTTAAATATTTGTTTTTTTTATATTTCCTGTTCATGTGAATTTACCACTAATACAAATTTAAACTTATTAATTTTTTTTTTAATTTTAAAAACTAATAAGTTTAGATCAATTAGTGATTATTCAATTAAAATCAAATTTATAATAATACATTAAGTTATAAATTACTCTTGATATTTTGATATTGTCAATTCAAAAATAAAATTTTTTAAGTTACCATTAACTGATGATTTGTGCTTAATCAAGTCATTATTTCATTTCTTTTTTTTTTTTATTATTTATAATTAAATTAGTTTTTAAAAAAAAAAAGTTTATTTTTAGTTTATTTTAAAACTTAAAAAACTTGTAATTTAAATTTAAATTTACTTAATTAAGATTTCGTTCTGAATTCAGCCAATATTTCAGATGTATCAAATGCTGCCTTCTCTTTCTAATGTATACGTTTCCAACGTAACTGCTAACGTGAACGTTCATGCTCCTTATGTTCAGCCCATTCCTGCACCTTACGGTCACCAAGTTCCCCCTCAGCAACAGCAGCCGCCACAACAAATGTTTTCTCACGGTCCACCTGAAGGAAGTGATCAAGGTAATCGTAGTCGTCGACAGCGTCAAAAAGCCGAAAAAAAGCGAGAGGGGCCTTTTGTTCAATCGAACGAAGTAATATCACCTTCTTTAGATGGTCATCCTCCTCCTCAATTTCCCAATATTCCTCCCATGCCGCCTTATTACTTGCCCGGGGCACCTGGGGCGCCTGTGTATATGCAACATGCAATTTTACCCGTGTATCCTTCCCCCTTATTTACCCCATATAGTCATACCCCAGGACCAATGGTCTATCCACAAACAAATAACATTGAACACGGTTCTGAAGATTACAATGGTAATGTACAACAAAGTTTCTCTCAAGAAAATTCGGAAATGATTGTGGTTGGGTGTGAGATTCGCTCGGAAAATTCGTCCGATCAAAGAAGAGGGGTGGAAGAAAACGGAAACAATTATAACATTGAAGAATTATCTGAACAAGCTATTCCAGAGGTGACAGGCTTTAAATCAGGTTCAGAAAACTCTCAATTTCACGAAGAAAGTGCTGATGGACAATTAGATCAGACTTTTGTATCTCAACAAAATAGTGGATCTTATGATAATTCATCCAAAAGAGATTTAAGTGGTAACATATTTGAAAAAAAAGAAAAAGAAGTAGAAAGCGATGTAGATAATGTAAAACAAATTACTTTCGGAGATCAAACTGCTCATTTAATTAGTACCTCTAATGAAGACCCCAACAATTTGCCTCCTGATGTTTTAAATAAAAGTACCACATCGAAAAAGAAAACTAATGGTGAACTTGATGTAAATAATGTGGATAAAGTTAGTGTAAATAGCAATTCCAGTGCAACTGCTTGGGCGAATGACGGACATTCATCAGTGCTTCATTCGGGCACGAATAACGTAAAACTTTTCAGCAGTGCTAGTGCGCAAGTGGTTAAAGCTCAAGAAAGTTTAGTGCCAGCTTCTCAACAGAGTAGTGAATTCCCTCTTATCCGACAAGGCACCAAATCTACACGTTTTGCATTAGCAGCAGTTGAACCAGAACCTGCATCTAATCAAATCAATTCATCATCCGGAGGAAAAAGTTGGGCTAGTCTTTTTAATAAGCAAGAGCAATTAAATTCAAACTCCGGATCAGATGTAAAAGGACGTCCACTAGCGCGAGTTTTACCGTATGAAGTTGACACTCCCAGTACTGGTCTCTCTTCCGCAGGACCGTCTTCTACAATTGTGCCTTCTGCCTCGGTCAAAGTTAGTAAACTAGGAGGAGTCACAAGTAATGGTCCTCTTACTCAAGAAACAGTTACATCTTCAGATCTTGTAAATGATCCTTACCTGTATAATTTAGGAGGTATCATCAATTGCATTGTATTTTTTTTTTATCATAATTATTTGATAAAATTTTTTTTTTTTTACTTATTTCTTTAATGATTTATAAAAATTTTTAGTATTTTTGTGTAAGTACGAACTGGAACATAAAATAATTAGTCTTCAACCTCGGGGATTGACAAATCGAAGTAATTGGTGCTATGTAAATGCCGTTCTTCAATCTCTCATAGCTTGCCCTCCATTCTACAATTTATTGAAAGCATTACCGGTTACACCTAACAAAAAGGGAAATAAGCAAACTTTAATTGTAGATGCTTTGTAAGTATATTGATAATTACATTTTTATTATGATAATAAAAAATCTCTCAATTTATAATTTCAATGATTTAAAGGGTGGAGTACGCCAATGAATTTAGTCCAATACCTGCCAATGCTAGAATTGGAAAGCGGGAAAAGTCAGCTCGAAACAAAGACGAAAATAATATTGTTGAAATAGTTACAGGACCTGCATTTGAACCTTCTGGCATATATAAAATTTTAGATAAGGTGCGAGGAGGAAGTAGTTTCAATGTTGAGGGTAGACAAGAAGACGCAGAAGAGTTTTTGTCTTGTCTGCTCAATGGACTTAACGACGAAATGTTTGAGGTATTTAATTATTTTTACACTTTAAACGTTTTCCTTAGAATTATTGTAATATCACGAAATGGTTGTTTTTATTTAATGTGTAAATAGTAACTTCTAATAAGAGCATTTTAAAATAAAGGAATTCCATTAAAATCCAGGGAATATTTTTTAAAAAATTTTCAAATTATTTTTTAGCTTATGAAAATGGTTGGAATCAACAGGCTTGATTTGGCTAATGGAGATGCTCACGATTCTTTGGGTGGAAACATTGATGATGATGATTCTGAATGGAACGTGATGGGACCCAAAAATAAAAGTTCAATCACTCGTCGAGCTGTATGTGGCAAGACACCTGTATCGGATATTTTTCGAGGGCAGTTTAGGTCAAGAGTTCAACGTGCTGGAGAACAATCGACTGATACGGTTCAACCATTTTTTACCCTTCAATTAGACATTGAAGTAAGCAATTTATATATATATGAATTATTTTTGTAATTAATTCAATTCTCATATTTATAAAATGATATATATATATATCCGAAACATATTTTTCGTCTCGTTCGAAATATGGTTTCTACTAAAAATTCTTTTTATTTGAAATTCTAATACGTACCTTTTAAAAGAAAAGAAATTTATTCCAGCAAAAATTAATTAATTAAAATTATTTTTTTTTTAGAAAGCCAATTCAGTAAAAGACGCTTTAGAACTTTTTATGGGAAAAGATCCTTTGGAAGGAGTTACTTGTTCAAAAACTCATCAAGAGGTTGAGGCGTGGACACAAACAACTTTAGAGGATCTTCCACTTGTTTTAATACTTCATCTCAAATGCTATGATTACAAATCCGATGCCTGCTCAAAGATTATTAAAAATTTTGATTTCCAAGTAGACTTGAGAATTGATGCCAGTACGTTTGAGATATATTAATTGTTTTTTTTATTTTTCGTTATCGAGTAGCGTTAGTTGTAAATTTTAATAAATAAATTTCTTTTTTTTTTTTTTCAGAGTTATTATCAAATAGAAATAAATATACAGGAAAGGAAAGAAATTATAAATTAGTTGCAGGTGACTTATTAATTATTAAATAATAATGGCCTAATTGAATTGTCAATTAAAAATAATTTTTTTTTCAGTTGTTTATCATGATGGAAAAGAAGCTAGTAAAGGTCATTACGTAACCGATGCTTATCATGTTGGATATGGGTGTTGGTTGAGGTACGATGATGTTATTGTTCGTTCAGTTCCTGAATCTCACGTGCTTAAACCACGTGCCCCGAGAGTCCCTTATTTATTATATTATCGTCGAGCAGATACAATTGGTCCGACAAAATAATTCACAAGTGTACTTAACAATCGTATTCAATATAATTTCGTTTTTGTTTGAGTTTATTTGAGATGGTTTATAAGTATTCTTACATTATAAATTGCTATATAACATATAGCATACTTTTAATATGTATATTTATAAAAAAAAAATAACTTAAAAATTTTATTTAATTGATTTTATATTTCTTACAGCTAACTTTTAAATAATATTTTATATAAATTAACTAGAGTTTACTTTTTTTTTTTTTTTTTTTTTTTAAAAAAAAAAAAAAATAAAAAAAGGCGTTCAAATTATATTCACATAAACTAGTATATATATAAATAATTTTTATTCTGTGTTGCTATTTAATTTATGCAATCAATTAATAATAATTGAAAAATAATATCTTCAAATGTAAATAATATTTCAGAGATTGGTTGTCATTTTTAGAAGCTTTTGCCCCTTAGATGATAGTTGTTTACTTGTACATAATTTTTTTCTTATTGGCTTTTAAAAAATTATTTTGCTGGATAAAGGCAAATAAAGAAATTGTATAAAATTTTTAAATAATGAAATAGGGCTAATAATCGTCGGTTTTTTTTTTTTTTCCTTTTTATAAATCATTACTAAATTTATTATTACTATATTTTGTTTGGTATATCGTTGCTTTAAAAGAAATTTTTTTTTTTTTTTTTTTTATAATCAGTCAAATTTCAATTTTTATGTAATTGCTTATATAAAGAAAACAGAATATATATTATGTTTTGTTAATTTTTTCCAAGATTTTGTTTGTTTAAGTTTCATTTTTCGTTCCTTGTCTTGTTTAACAAAATTTTATATTTAAATTTAAAAAAAAAATCAAATTAATATTATAATATTGATTAGAGTTGAATTTTGTTTATTTATTTTTTTTTTTATATAATAACTGCTTGCGTACTATTTGACCTAAACGTAGTTCTTAAATATATAATTATATTTAATGATTAACTGAAATGTGAGTATAATAACGTTAGTGTTAGTTTTCGTTGTAAAAGAATAATCATCGTGAATTTTTATTTAAATTAAAACAATTAAATCAAAGATTAAGTAAATATTACATTAAAATAAAAATAATTTAATTTTTATCTTATAAATTAAATATTAAAGCAGAGCTTTCTATCGTTAAATTAGGGAGTTAAAAAATAATGGCATCGATTTTTGTTGTGCCAAAGTTAAATAAATATTCTTCTTTATGTTCAAAAAATATAGTATTTTCAAAAAAACTTAAAAATGGTTTAAATAATAATTTATTTTTAAATAAATATTATTCACAAAAGTAAGTATCAAGTATTATCATTAAAAAAAAAAAAAAATTTTAATTGTTTTTTTGGTACTTAAAAATTTCAATTGAACTTCAGGCTATGAAATTAAAAAAAAGAAATTTTTTTCAAGTCGGAATGATTTTTTCGACGTTGTCGTTGTGGGTGGTGGTATTGTTGGGGTTAGTACAGCAAGAGAACTTAAACAACGTCATAAAAACTTACGAATGGCTATTGTTGAAAAAGAATCAAAACTTGCTTATCATCAAAGTGGTCACAATTCAGGAGTTATACATGCTGGCATATATTACAAACCTGGTTCATTAAAAGCCAAACTTTGTGTGGAAGGTTTAAATTTGACATATAGGTAGGTAGGTAGGTAGGTAAATTTAATTTTCTATATTATTCCTGTATAAGAAATGATTTCTCACATCCATTTATTTTAATTCAGTTATTGTGATTCGCATAATATTCCATATAAAAAATGTGGGAAATTAATTGTTGCTACAAACCATGTAGAATTGCAGAGGCTAGACGATTTATATGACAGAGGAATAAAAAACAATGTACGGGATATAAAACTTATTAATGAAAATGAAATTAAAGAAATTGAACCACATTGTAAGGTATTTTTTTTTTTTTCAACTGGAATTATTATTGATGATGAAACAATGTAATATATTACTATTATCATTTTATCATTTAAAATTTAATTATAGGGGTTAAAAGCAATTCATTCACCTCATACAGGTATAGTTGATTGGGGTCTTGTTACTGAATATTATGGAAAAGATTTTAAAGATGAAGGAGGAGAAATTTTTTTAAATTTTAATGTTACCGGATTTCAATTATCTACAGTTAACCATCCTAAAAGTGCTGATTATCCAGTCGTTGTTCAAAGTAAAAATAAAGTATGTATAATAAATCTCATAAGCATATTTTTAAAAAAAACATTTGAAAATTTTCAAAAAGCTATAGATGATTCCATACAAATTTTTTATTTAAAAATTTATTACTTACTTAATTTGACAATTAATTTCAGGAAATTTATACCAAATATGTTTTAACATGTGGTGGATTACAATCAGATAAATTATCAGAATTATCAAATTGTAATAAAGAACCGAGAATAATTCCTTTCAGAGGAGAATATTTAATTTTAAAACCTCATAAATGTCATTTAGTCAATGGAAATATTTATCCTGTAAGTAATTTATATATGATTAAATAAATTTATATTTATTTATAAAATAAAAATCATGATAATTTTTATTTAGGTTCCAGATCCCAGGTTTCCCTTTTTGGGAGTTCATTTCACTCCCAGAATGGATGGTAACGTTTGGTTGGGTCCAAACGCTGTTTTAGCATTTAAACGTGAAGGTTATTCTTGGTCAGATTGGAATTTTTCAGAGTTGATGGAAACATTTTCTCATTCTGGATTTCGAAAACTTGCACTAAAATATTTCAGTTATGGAATGGGTGAAACGTTTAAATCCTTTTTCACTTCCTTACAAGTGAAAGAACTTCAAAAATTTGTACCCGATTTAAGGGTTGAAGATGTGACTAAAGGGCCAGCGGGCGTTAGAGCACAAGCATTGGATTCCTTCGGGAACTTAGTTGACGATTTTGTTTTTGAAAAAGGAGCAGCAACAGTGGGACAAAGAATTTTACATTGTCGAAATGCACCATCCCCTGGTGCAACATCTAGTTTAGCTATTGGAAAGCATATTGCTGATAAATTTTATAATGAATTTTTAATATCAGCATAAATTTATATATTATTTAATATCAAACGAGAACATTTTTTTGACAATATCCTAAAAAATGTTTTTTTGTTAACATTCCATTAAGAATTATTTAGCCTTAAATATTATATTTATATATATTTATTAAGATTTTTATTACAACTTTAAAAAACACTTGTTAATTAAAACCAAAAATACAATTTTAATTGTTTTAAAAGAGAAAAAAAAATTGTTGTTAATACTGAAGATTATATTTTTTTATAAATTAAATAACATATTTTATTAATAAAAATTTATTAAAAAATGTTGTCTTTAACTTTAATCAAAGAAAAAAAAAATTGAAAAATTTTTCAAATTTACTATAACATTATTGAATTTTACTAATAATCATTCTCTTTCCAGTTTTCAATTTAAAAAAAAAAAATTATGTTTGCATATAAGTTTATTTAGGCCACATATCATCATCATCATCATTATCATTTTTCGAGAAAAACAATATTCAATAAAAAGACATAAATAAATATTTTATCATACATAAAATCTTTTGTTAAAAATAATAATAATAATAATAATAATATAATCTTTGATTCCATTGTTGAGAGCGCTTCAAGTGTTCAATTTTGAAACTAAAATAAATAATCCATTAGCTAAAAGTTGAATTTTAGTTTGAGTGAAGCGTTCAATATCAAGTGTCGGGAGGAATAAGTTGACACACAAAAAAAAACTGTGTTAAATTCATTTATTTATATTTAAAATCGTTTATTATGTTTTAAAATGTGAAATAAATAATTATTATTAATGAAAAACATATTAAATAATCGTAATTTCTTAGTAATTTGAAATAATAGAATGAAAAGTGATTCTTATATGAAAATAATTTGGTAAATATGATATTACCTATAAATGCATAAAATGCGACAAAAAAAAAATCTTTTTCTTTCTTTCTTTCTTTTTTTTGAATTAACAGGTTTAATTTAAAAAGTTTTTTTTTTTTTTTAAGTTAAAAATTTAATATTTTCTAATAGAATTTTAACAGACAAAAAAAAAAAAAGAAAAAAAAACTGTCAGGTGATATTTGTGATTTATTTTAAACAAAGTAAAGGTAAATTTCTTATTTTGTATTACAATTTTTTCTTTTTTTTTAAAATAACAAATTGTTATTTGATGAAAATTTTATTCATTATTCGTCTTTTTTTTTCTTTTTTGTTCGTTTTTTTTTATTTTAATATTTATCTCCTTATTTATCTTGTTTAAAACTTGTAGTAATGATTTCAACCCCATATATATTAATGTTTTACCTTTTTTTTTTTTTCAAGAGGGCTGTGACTTTTTTTTTTTTGAATTCAATAAAGTTATAAATTCTCTTGTTTTATTTTCAAAAAAAAAGAAAGAAATTTATAAATTATAATATTATATATTTATATATTAATATAAGTTACGAAACAAATATAATAATAAAAAACTGTTCAACTTTTTCCGGGTGAATAATAATAATAATAATAATAATAAAAGTTTTTCTAAAAAGTTAGCAGCAATATTTACTGAAACGGTTATTAAATTTTATTTCAATTTATAATTATTTATAAATTATTTACTTTTCCAAACTCGTAGAAAAAAAAAATGATTAAAAAAAAAAGTTTTAATAAAATTATATTAATTTTTTTCTTTTTTTTAATTAAAAATTTTTTTTAAAAATTTAGTAGTATAAAATAAATATTAATAATAAGGATCAAGATTTTTAGATTTCCGTTGTTCGTGTCATTTATAATTAAAATTTTTTTTTTTTTCATAGTTTAATAAACAATAAAATCCATAGGTAATAAAATTATAAATAATAATAATAATAATAATAATAATAATAATAGATTTACAGTAAAATTCCGTTTGTTGTTTTCTTATTTAAAATATTGTATTAAAATTTGGGATTTATTAACAATCATCACTTACTTATTTAGGAACCTTTTTTTATTTTTTATAAATTATTATATTTTTAACTCATGAATGATAGTTTTTGAAAAAAAAAAAAAAAAAAAAATTGTAAAATTGTGGAAAGGGATTGTTTTACCTGAAATTAATTTTTTACATTTCAGTCAATGATGCTCTCTAACCAAAAAAAATAAATAAAAGTTAATTAATTTTTTTTGGTCTTATAACAATTAAAAAAAGTGTTTATTTTCTTTTTTTTTTAATCTTCATAGTGTTATTTTAGAAAATTATTAACTAAAAACAAAAACAAAAGACTAATATTTTAAATATTAAAAAAAAAAAAAAACAAGAAGAAAACAAAACATTATCAAATGGATATATAAATAGAAATTTTAAAATTTTTGTGTGATTATTGAAATCTGTAATGGAAGAAGAATTAAAGTGTCCGGTTTGCAAGCAGTTTTACAATAATCCAGTACTGCTACCTTGTTTTCATTCTCTGTGTTTAAACTGCGCATTTCAATTGCAAATACCTGTTTCTCAAAATGGAACAGCTTCAAACGGTTCTACTAGAGAGATTATCGATCGGGATCGAGATGAATCTTCTGCTTCGGGTGCTGGAAGTGAACCCAGCAGTACAGATTATCAAGAAGTGGATAAATTATCTATGTTAAGTGAAACGGATAGTGGTGTCGTTTGCAACAGCAGGCCCAGTAGCTACGTGGGTACGCCAAACATTAATGGAATATTGTTTCCCCCAGTTTCCGCTAGTGCATTGTCTTTATCGTGTCCCTTATGTCAAAAAATCGTTTACTTTGATGAAAATGGATCGCATAATTTACCTAAATATAGAGCGATGCAAACGATAGTGGATAAATTCACCGAACAAAAGAATTTAATTCTTAAATGTCAGTTGTGCGAAATAATACCAGCTTTGGATGCTACCGTAATGTGCGAACAATGTGAAGTGCTTTATTGTGACTTGTGCAGAGAAAATTGTCATCCTTCGAGAGGTCCTCTCGCTAAACATATCCTTTTAGAACCTTTACAGGGTCGCGCATCCCTCCGAAATAAAACTAAATCAAAAGATTTGCAATGTAACGAACATGAAGATGAAATATTATCAATGTACTGCCTAACGTGTAAAATATCTGTTTGTCCTTTGTGTTTAAATTCGAGACACAACAGTCACGATGTTCAAGCAATCAACGCCATAGGTAAATCTCAGAAGGTGAGTAGAAAAAAAATTTTCCTATTAAATATCAAAAAAAAAAAAAAAAAAATGAATGAATTGAAATTTATTTTGAATTACTTGTTTACTTGTTTTCAACATTGTGAAGTTTTTATACCTTACATTATTTTTGATTACAAATATAACATCAGGAATGCAATTGAAAAATTTAGGTACTTAAATAATACATACATACCTTTATTCAAATTACGGCTCAAAATTCACATTTACCCTAATAAAGGAAAACCCAGAATCAATTTTAATTCCCCCCCCCTTTCACATTTTTTGAAAATTTATCAATTTTCTTTTTATTTATTTAATTTTGACGTGTGAAAATACTTATAAAATTATAAAAAGGAAAGAGAAAATATAAAATTAGTTAAGATATTATAATTAAAAAATTTATCATTTCTTCCTTTAATTATTTCCTTTATTCAAACTTTTTGTAAAAAAAAAAAATTGAAAATTAATATTTTTAATTTAATTTTTATGAAATTTTTAAAAGAAAATATTTTTGAGAACTTTTTTCATACGTGAAAGAAAATATACATTTATTAATTTTTTATTTATATAAATTAATTACTCAACAAATTTTACTTTAAAATAAAATAAAAAAAAAAAAAATTTTTTGATCTAATTTTAAAATTTTGTGCTTTTGCCAGTTTAATTTATAAAAATTAAGTTTTTTTTTTTTTTTTGCTACTCTAAACCATAGGAATTTGTTTTTCACATAATTCATTCCATAAAAGAGTTTGAAAGTAATTCAATATAAAAAAAAAAATTTAAAAATTATTTGATATTAAAAAACTAAATTTAATTTTTAAAATTTTTATTATATTCGTTAAAAATAAATAAATTTTTTTTTGCCTTGTACTAAACATTATTTAAAGGTGAAAATAATTTAATTGCGTGGTTTTTTTTTTTTTTAATTTTTAATTATAAGCCCTTTTTTTTTTTTATTTTTGGGTCATTGTACGTGTTACATTTATTACAAATTTTACGTCATTAAATTTATTAAAAGATTTTATACGTTTTAGAAAATAATAATAATAATAATACGATTTAATTTTACATTAATTTGTTTAAAAAAATTTTTTTTTTTTTTTAAACAAAATCTTAGCAATGTTTCCGTACAATTTAAGGAACACACATTTGGAAAAATGTGAAAAATACAAATAAGGGGTGGGATTTAGAAGGTGCAGATTTAAAAAGGAGAATCACCATGGAAACCCCCCAACAGAAAATGCATTTTCGTTTTGGTTTTTTTTTTTTCCTTTTTTTTTTTTTTTTTAAATGCGTTTCCGTTAATATTTAAAAAATTAATTTTTCATCATTTTCAGCTATATATATTAAATATACAATTAAAAATAAATAAATATATTTCAAAAAAATTTTTTTTTTGGAACAATAATTCTAAATGAAAAATGATTGTTTTTGTTTTCCAGACCGAATTGTCTCAACATTTACAACAGCTTTCGGAAAAAGCAAAATCGACTACGGAATTTATTCAAAGGCTCAAAGCTCTCGCCGATAAAGTTAATGTATGTAAAATTTAAATAATTCAAAAACGTTATTAGTAATTTTCAAAAAAAAAAAAAAAAAATTATTCGGATTTTTAGGAAAATTGCACGGAATTTGAAGAATCGGTTTCTTTTCAATGTGAACAACTCATTAAAGCTGTTTTATATCGAAAAGAACAACTTTTAGATTTTGTTCGTCAGGACAAAGATTCAAAATTAAGAGCTTTAAAAGAACAGGTTTCTGTTTGCACAAGTAAACTACAGCACACAACGGGTCTTTTACAATTTTGCATTGAAGCACTTAAAGAGACAGATTCGGCTGCATTTTTACAGGTAATAATTTCATTGGATTTTTTTTAAAATTAATAATAAATTATTCGAAATGCATTAGTTGAATATTTTATTCTAATTATAGGTTGATTCTATGCTTATTTCGAGAGTTGCAAGCATTGATTTAGCTTGGCACAAAGATTTAATGGCAACACCAAGAGTTTCTCCCCAATTCGATCTCACTCTTGATGATAAATCAGTTTTACGTGCAATTCAGCAATTAAATTTCATACAAATGAAACGTAAGTGTGATAAAATTATTTTTACATGGAAAAACAAAAAAAAAAAAAAATCCTACTGAAGAACCGCGTATTACAAGAATAACATTCTACATTATTGTTATATCGATCAATTACATTAAATTTTCTTCAGTTTTTTTTTTTTAATTAACATAAAATATTTATCTATTCCGAAGTAACTTTAAAAAAAAAAAAAAAGAAATATAATTAATAAATTTTTTTTTAAAGCTGCCAAGGATGGAGAAGAAAGAATTCCGGCAGGTAATGATTTTAAAATTTTTTAGAATTGTTTTTAAAAGAAAATGCCGGACGCAACAGAAAAGCTGAAATTTTTTTTATCGCCTTTTTTTTTTTTTTTAAATAATTTAAATATTAGCTTCAGTTTTACTTTTTTTTCGCATAAGCATTTTAAACGAAAATATAAATAATTCCTAAAAATGCCTTTTATTAGTACGGGGGGGGGGGGGGCCCCTTTTCTCTCTTCCCTCCCCACCCCCTAAAAAAAAAAAAGAAAGTAATATTAAAAAAAATTTTATTTTAGCTCCTAGCGCACCGTTAATTATTCCTGAAGAATGCAGCGCAGAAAACAACAGCGTTACAATTGCATGGCAGCAACCTCCTACTTCTTATGTTGAGGGTTACGTTCTCGAATTAGATGATGGAAACGGTGGAGAATTCAGGGTGAGAAATTTTAATAATAAATTTTTATTAAATTTAACGAAACGTTATAAAAAAAAAATTTTTTGTTTTTATTTAGAAAAGTAGGAGGTTAAATAAATTTTTGAATAGAAATTCTAATTACAAATTTAATAAATAATATCAAAACCGTTTTTTCGCTTTTTAATTTATGTATTATTAATTTATGAATTCAACAGTTTTTTTTTTTTGCAATTTATTCTTTTATGTATTTATGATTTGTATGTATTAATAAATTTGGTGACTATTCATCCAGGAGGTTTACTGCGGTAAGGAAACCATATGCACAGTAGACGGTCTTCATTTTTGTTCAATGTATAATGCTAGAGTGAAAGCCTTTAACAGCACCGGTGAAGGAGAATATAGTGACCTCATTGGTCTTCAAACTGCTGAAGGTTTGACTTTTTATTACATTTTATTTTAAAATTTTCTCACGGTTTTCACTTAATTTATTTCCTTTTTACTAAAATAAAATGTACAATTGATCAAAAAAAAATTTTTTTTTTTTTTTTAGTTGCATGGTTTTCGTTTGATCCTTGCGTTGGTTCCAGTGAATTAGTATTTTCTGAAGATAATTGTTCCGTCACTTGCGAAGGATACGAACATAGGGTAGCGTTGGGAAGTGTGGGATTTTCCAGAGGAGTTCATTATTGGGAATTCGTTATAAATAAATATGATACAGACACTGATCCAAGTTTTGGTATCGCCAGATTAGATGTTATTAAAAATCAAATGTTGGGTAAATATTTTTTCTAAATTTTCTGTAAGTGGTTGAGGCTGAAATACAGATTAAACTCTCCAATAATAATCCAATGATTAATTCTATTGAAATTTTTAATTGAAATATATATTTGTTTATCCTTATTATAGGTAAAGATGACAAAGGTTGGAGTATGTATATTGATAGAAAAAGATCTTGGTTCATGCATTGTGGAATTCATGTAAACAGATGTGAAGGTGGAATTCAACCCGGTTCAACTGTTGGAGTTCTTTTGGATTTAGAAAGACACCAATTAAGTTTTTACGTTAATGAAGAGCTACAGGTAAGTTGTAATAGATATTAAATTAAATTCATGTTTAAAATAAATTCTTATAATAAAACTATTTTTTGAATTCTATCTAAAAAGGGTCCAGTTGCTTTTCAAGACCTATATGGAGTATTTTATCCGGCTATTAGTTTAAACAGAGGAGTTTCTGTGACTCTTCACACTACTCTTGACGCTCCTTTAGATGCTGAAGGTAGCTGAAGAGATTTAATTGGTTAGATGTGAAATTATTTAATTATCAAAAAAAAAAAAAAAATTTTTTTTAAAAATATTTATTTAAAAATCGCTCATGTTACTTATATTATATGAAATATGTTTTAATATTTTACACAAAAAATTGCCAAAAAGTTTTTTTTTTTTTTTTTATTAAACGACCAAGAAAATAATCAGAAAAATATACACACCAGTATCAATGTAAAACTTATCATTAATTTTAATGTATTTTAAAATAAAGAAAACTTTAACTTGGATATAAATTAGATTGTTCACATACTTTTTCAATTCATTCACTAGTTAGCAGAAATTATTTATTTAGTTTTGCTCGGAAAAAATTAGATTGTTTGAATTTTTTTTATTTTAAATAAATGTGAAACTGTAATATCATTCATTTGTTTATCTATGAAAAGTACTAATTTTTAAATTATTATATTTAAATAATATTCTAGTTCAGGTTAAATTAATAATTTTAAAAAAATTAAAAACGAAAACTCATAATTAATATTATTTTTAAATGGATAATATTTCTAAATGTTTTTTAAAAAAAGAAAAAATTAAGGATACTACAAAAATTATTTTTAGTTTTAATCATTACTACAGATGTAAAATTTGTTAAATAGTGATTTATAATTTTATTTATACTTAACTAATTTCAAAACCTATTGATAATTGTTTTTAATTAACTAAAACGAAAAAGAATGATTGTTAAAGAACTTTTATTTCATTGCAGACAATTTTACTTTGACTGAAAAATTTCTAAAGACTTTTTTTTTACTTTAAACCGATTTTATTTTATTTTTATTATTTAATTACACTTTTAATTATTATTTTAATGCAATGTAAGTTAAAAAAAGAAAAAGATTCAAGTCAATATACTTTTAATATAAAACTATTTGCAAGGAGGGCAAATAAATATTTATTATTATTATTATTATTATGAATGAATTTTTTAAATAATTTTTTATATTTTTATAATTTGTAGAATATATTTATGAATTGTGAAAATCGTCGTTTTATTTGAATTTAAAAAAATATCTTGCAACAGATAAATGTTTAATTAAATTTTATTTGTATTTAATTCGTAATTTCGTTTTATTTATTTACTTATTGGCAAAAATTTTACATACATTACAAAATCAAATTAAAACAATTGATTTTTACTTACAAAAAGTAATATTTCCCACCTGTTACACAATGTGTTAGGTACATTTCCAGTAAAATAAAAACAAAAACATTATTAGAAGTAATTTAACTGTTCTTAAAATTCTATGTTAAATATTTAATAAATTTTTATTTAAAATTTAGTATTTATAAATAATTTTATGCAAAACAAAACAATTTTTTATTATTTAAGCACAAAATTGATTTAAAATTCACGATTCCCACAAATCGGTCGGTTTTTTTTTTTTTTTAACTGATGGAAAACTGTGAAATTCTGCTTCCACGACATTTATTTGCCGTAGTGTATTTTGATAAAGTTTAAATGATTGTTTAGTAGTTTTAGTTAGTAGGTCAGTTTTTTAATTTTTTAGTTTATTAATTTTTACCCAAGGGGCCAATTAAATATAAATTAATCGAATATAAGTGAATCAGTGTTTGTTAGTTTTAATGCTTATTATAATTTTTTTTTAAGTGAGCAAGTTTATCACGTATTTATGTTATCGCATGTCAAGTTAAGTGCAATTTTTATTTTATTTTTTTAAAAAACGTATAATTTTAATTTTTTTTAAATGGAGAATGAACATAATCCGGTATGCGTGTTACTTTTTAGCGGAAAACGAAAATCTGGTAAAGATTACGTTACAAATAAATTGCTTGAAATTTGCGGGGAGGAAAAGGTAGTTATAATAAAAATATCAGCCCCTATAAAGGATTATTTTGCAAAAAGTTCAAATTTAAATTTTGATGAATTATTAGGGTCTGGGGAGTACAAAGAAAAATATCGTAAAGACATGATAATTTGGAGTGATAAAATGAGAGAAAAAGATGCTGGAGTTTTTTGTAAATCTGCCATTGAAATGTTTAATGCTTATTCTAAACCCATTTGGATTATTAGTGATATTAGGAGAAAAACTGATATCAGTTGGTTTAAAGATAATTTTATGAATGTTAAAACAATAAGAATCGAAGCTGATGAACAAGTTCGTAAATCAAGGGGGTGGGATTTTACACCAGGTATTGATGATGTTGCTTCTGAATGTGATTTGGATGATTATCAGTTGTGGGATTGGAAATTAACTAATAATGGGCAAGACAATGATGAACTTGATTCTGTTAATGTCATATTTAATTACATAAAAAATTTTCTATAAACTGTCGCAATAATTATCACAGTTAAATATATATATTCTACATTTTATCAGCTGTTAAAAATTTTAGGTTTTAAGGTAACTAAAAAAGTTATTTTTTAAAATATTTTTAATTATTATTATTTTATTAACTGTTATTTTTACAAATCAAATTTTTTTATTACATTTCAATATGGAATAACTAATTGAAAAAAAAAATTTTTAATTTCCAAGCCTTAGTTAATTAGTTCCTTTGTATTTTAAAATTCTGGTTATGTTGTTATTAACATTATGAAAAGGAACAGAAGTTCTGACAGATTTTTCTATATCTTGAAGTAAAGGAATTTCTGAAGCTAGTGATATGAAATTTGTTATACAACAACCTTGATCATGTCCTATTCTGCCAGTCCTTCCGCATCTGTGTATGTAATCTGCTATAAATTTTGGAAAATCGTAGTTTATAACATGTTTCACCTGAAAATTAGGATATTATTTTAAATTATCAATATTAAAAATCACAAAAAAAATTTTAATGAAGTAAAAATTTTACATGTGTGCAATCAAGGCCTCTAGATGCAATATCAGTACAGCAAATAATATTATAAAGCCCTTCTTTGAAATCTTGATATAGTTGTAATCGTTTTTCATGGTTCATGTCAGCATGAATTTCTCTTGATTGAATATTATTTTCATTTAAAAATATATTCACCCATTTAACCGTTGATGTTTTATTACTTTAAAAAAAAAAAAAAAAAAAAAAAAAAAAAAAAATGAAAACAATGAATGAAGGAAATGTACAAAAAGAAAAAAACTTTACCAAAATATCATTGTAGGAATATTAAGTTTTGCATTTTTTTTTATTATTTTTAATAATGCCTCAGGTTTATTTCCTTTACCAACTCTTTTAAACTCTTGTGGTATGTGAGATTGGATTTTATGCAAATAATTTGTTGATATCTTTATTATTTCTTCAGGCTGTAAATAATAAATGAAAAAAAACATCTTTAAATCTTTTTTAATATTAAATATCCATTATGTTCTCGGAAAAAGGGATTTTTAAAGTTTTCACTTAAAAACAAGAAAACATGAATTATTTTTGCTCGTTTTTGAACTTAATAATAAAAAAATATATTTTATTACAACCTAATAAATAAATTTTATGAGAAATTAAATAAAAAGTTATGAAATGGTTTAATTATACCTACTGTAATTATATTAGCCAATGTGTCATTTAAATTTCTTGGCATTGTGGCACTGGTTAAATAAAGCTGGCATTTATCACTTGTTAAAATTGATTCATCATCTGTTTTAAACATGATCTAAAAAAAAAAAAAAATAATTTAATAAATATGAAATGTTTATTATTAGCAGGAAACATTTAAAAATTAAATTAAGTTCACTTATTAATATTAGGTAAACATAAATTAGTAAATGTGTATCTTTTGTATTAAAAAAAAAAAAAAAATCTCACCTTAGATTTATTGATGATGTACTTAATTTTAGGTAAAAAACTATCATCGAATAAAGTATCAGTTTCATCTAATACAAAATGCTTACATAAATGTAATGAATATATTTTAGTTGTTATCATTTTACTAAGTACTCCAGGAGTGCTAATTAAAATATCAACAGTCCTTTTTATTGGATTAAGCAACATTTGCTTTGTTTTCCCTCCTACTAATGTTAAACATTCAATTCCTAAATCTGCTGACATTTTATGCGCTACCATCTGAAAACAAAATTATAATTAATATTTTATTCAAAAATACACATTATAAAATTTTAAGTAAAATTGAAAATAATTATTACCCCCACTTGAATTGCAAGTTCTCTAGTAGGTACTAAAATTACTCCTAAAGGTGTGTTATAATCCATTGCTATTAATTTTTTTAATTCCATAATACTTTGAATCATTGAAACTAAATAAA